AGGCCCGTGATGGGGAAGACCACCTGTTGTTGTTATTCGCCATAGGAGGCTAAACGAGTATGTGAAACAGGTCGGGCAAGAAAATGGGTCGAAAGCTTTACAGTAACCCCTAACTCAGTGCTCTCGATACCATATTGGAAAAAATAGGTAAAAGTTGTTGTGTTTTATTCCCCAGTATTAGGATGGTTTATATAGAGAAGATACAATCAATACATTTAATTATCTCCTTAATGGAGAATAATGGAAAAAAATAAAGGTAGTACCATAAAGGAAATAATAAAACCGAAAATATAATATTTTCCAACAGTATCCATTAATCTTAAGAGCTTTTAGTATAATGTACTCACCAACCTCCTTTTATAGGGAAATAATGTTTAAAGACTAACTTCCAACCAAACAAAGAATAGAGTTTAGAGTGGTCACCCCCCACCCACCCAAACCAAAACAAAGATTTTCCACAGGCTGATCTCGAACAAAGATGGAATTTATGTTGGTGACCCACTAGACCGAGATGGACTTTTGAATTTGATATTCTCCTAAATGAATCACAGTTTTGCAAGGGTTGACCTATGAATCAATTTGAGAAATTGCACAAGCTAATCTCGAACCACCTGAGCTTTTATACCAAGATGAACACAATAACTAATGTGAGATTTTATATAGGCTAATCTGGAATAGATAAAGATTTTAAATAGGTTGAGCTCAAGAACTGTTGTGAATATTTTAATGGCTAATATTCACGAATTAAAATATATCTTTTCTTCTTTGCAAAAATTACAAACCAAAAGAAGGCTTCCTAAGACAGTCCCCTAAAAACAAACAAGAGCTTTTATTGGTTTAGCTTACAACCAAACAACTTCGTATGATAGAATATTTTACATAAGATATAATACACTCTTAGTAAATTATAATTAAGCCCTCACCCAGAACAATAATCCTCTCATAGGAACAAAAGTACTCTTGAAGCACTAAGGCAAAATATATGTGAGAAACTAAGAGATTTAGAAAATGATGAAAGAGTATGAAAGTGAGAATAAAGCTTATTTTATATATGTTGTAAAATGATATATAAGCTCTCTATCTATAGGAAAAATTTGGGTTTAAATTTGGAAACAATCCATGGGAAAAATGAATTCCATAATCGATTAGGCCAATTGATTATTTACCCTCAATAATCTATTGTTCAAGCCACAAATGCAAGATTTTGGTATTTAACCATTATCAATCATTAAGAGATTGTCCCAATCATTGTTAGACTCAACCAAGATAAAATAATTGATTAGGTAATTAGGTATAATTGATTATCCAGTTGTAAAAAGTCATCCAATTGACCAGACAATACCCTAATCAGTTGGCTAGGCCTTAAAAATATTTTCAGGTGGTTTTAATATAATATGAGATACTTCTCAAATGTTTTTAGTGTGTATGTTTGTGTTATTTTTCCTTAGTATTTCCTAAAGTACCCTTGTGTCTTTATAAGACACTAATCACTCAGACGAACACAACCAGACGAGCTTTCATACTTCCTCTCATTCATAGATCTGAAGCTTCAAATTTTGGCATCATTACCTTGGTGTTTATCATCACACAAGAGCCTTGTTTCTTATTAATGAGGCTTGAGATATCTTCAAGAACCATAATAAAATAGTTGAGAAAATAAACCACTAAAAAACCTTGAAGCATAAGTTTTCACTTGAATGTCATTTAACTACTGTGTTAACTTCAAAGAGATGACGTGATCTTCAAGAAAATATTCAAAGGATAGCTTGATTTAATAGGATATATTGATAAAACATATTGAGAATCTTTGAATGTTTGAGATATATTCAACATATAAGGACTTCAGTAGATATCATTTGATATCAGGTGTTGTTATCATCAAAATCAAACAGTTAATCAAAGGATAGCTTGATTCAAGAGGATAACTTGATAAAATATCTTGAGAATCTTCGAACGCTTGAGATATCTTCAACTGATAAGGACTTTAGTAGAAATCATTTTATATCATATGTTGTTATCATCAAAGCCAAACAGTTAATCATATAATTACAGCTTTTCTATCAATAAACTTTACCACCTTAGATCACCTTGACAATACATGAAAGCACATAGATCCACGTGCATTCCTTGTCTTTGATCTCAAATCCTCGTGGTTGAGTGACAAATACCAATTCCTCAATTGGCCCATTTAAAAATATTGACTTAGTATCTAAGTGGAACATGGACCACCCATTACATTTGTTATGCCTATCACTAGCCTAATTGTCTCAGTTCTAGATATTGGGGCACAAACCTCTGAATAGCCTAGACCTTGTCTCTACAGAAAACAACTAGCAACTAACATGTAATTATGTTTTGAAATTGATTCATCTGGAATGTGTTTGAACTTGAACACCCATTTTATTTCAGTACCCTTCTTATCAGATGACAATTTTATTAGCTTCTATGTATAATTCCTTTCAATTGCAGCTAGATCTTCTTTCATTTTCTTTTTATTGGCCTTGCTCATTAGGGATTCATGATGGGTGATGGGCTCAACATCTTCCACTAGGTCCATATGAACTAAAATACCTTCTTTAGACACCTCATTGTTCTGTTCACATTCTTTAAACCTTACTAGAATTTTACTTGTTCAGTTAGGTCTCTAATTCACCTCAACATTTGGAACTTCCACATCATCTTTAGTTGATTCACCACTATAATAATTTTCATTGAGTAATGAACTCACCCGAGACTTGTTTGAACTACTCCATAATTGTCAATTCCTCGAGCTTACCTCATCTATCAATATATCTTCTAGTAGAATTCCTAAAATGATAAAATCTAGCGTAATGTCTTTAAAAACCAATGTCAGTCTCCGACAATAATGCCACTTTGTTGTCAGCAAATAAGTGTAAGTGTTTTATCATCTTCACTAAGACAGTTTGCATTTTAAAGACCATTCAATAGTTTATGCGACTTTAAGAATGGTTTATCAAATATTAGTTGTTTGTGAATATTGAAATGACATAAAGTAAAATGACTGAAAGTAAAATAAACTTGTGTTTAACAATTGAAATTTTTTGTTGGAGTTAGATTTTATCGATCTATTCTCATGTAATATCACTTATCAATAATATGCAATTCTAATCAACTATTAATGTTACCGCCTGTTGCTCTCAATTGGAGCTCATGTATGAGGCAACAACGTGAGATCAATCAAATTACCTAATAGTTGATTTCTCACCTATTATCTAATACAACAACATTAAGCTTCAATAGTTCATATATATTCTGAACCTAGATCTATCTCTAGACTTTAGTCTATCTAATAGATTGAAATCCTGGTTCTAGTAAGACCACTAACTTTCACATATCAAGTCACATCATGAAAACATGTTTTAAATAGTTAATCCTAAACAAGCATTAAGAACAAAAAAGTTGCCAATATTAAAACTTAAGAAAAATGACTTAGAATTCCATGATCTTGATCAATACATGAGCATTAGGACGACTACACCTAACCCTAAAAAAAGAAATTATGTTTGCTTACTCATCATAACTTTAAAATTAAGCCCTAGAAGAAATATGTTGAAAAACATCTATTGTCAGTTCCTCAGACAGTACTTCTGCCCTGAATCTTCCTCTCTTTCTCTCCCCTATTGTGTTTCTGGTATATAATGGCTTCTCTCACTCTGTATTAAGGAAACTATTTATTTACACCAAGTTATCTCCAACTAAACTACATGAACCTTTATTTATAAGGTGCTGCAATTAGTTTTTTTCCACCTATCATTGCTTAGCACGCCTAAAAGCTCGCTTAGCCAGTAAACACTTTCCTAGCCATGAAGTAACTTAGCCCTTAAGTATTTGAAAAACGGCTTCACCTCGTATAGGGCACCTGATACTGCGCTAAACGAGCTTTATTGATTAACTTTGATTGCCTCTTAATTATTCTTTTGGCGCCTTTGCTCGCTTAGCGAGACACTGTTCTTGGCTAAGCGAGTTTTGGTGTTTGAATGATGCTTTTTGTTCATTTTTGGTGTTTTCTTGATCCTTTTTACATGTACTTAGTAAATACACAGTTAAAAAGTTAATTTAGGCATTTTATCGAGCTTTATTGATACATTAGAGTTTTTTCGCTGGTTTCTTGCAAAATAAGTCAATAAATACTTATGTATTTTTCGTATTTTTGGCACTTATCATAGGTGGAATTCAAGATCGAGTGAAAATCTTGTAGAGATCAATTTCAGACGTTGCATACATTCGAAGAAAAAATTGAGATCGAAGATTGTTTAATTGTTAGCAATATCGTGAATCTTGTGATTGTAATAAAGATTTGGTAAAATATAGTCAAATCATGGTGGAAGATTACGAATTTTCAATGAAAAACCATTGGAGATTGAACTAGACACAAAGTGAGGACGGACGTCTGGACCATTATATATAAATCCGATGTACTTTCTCGTTCCATGTACTTTTTTTTTTATTTGAATCGTATACTTAGAATTTCTTATTTTCTTAAAAATTGTATGATGTTAGGTTTTATTGTCTTAGGAATTTCTTGTATAAAATTAGGTCCGTGTTAGATCAAGATTCTAAACATTCTTATGATTTAAACTGAAAATTGTATTCATAGATTTCTTAATCAATTAAGTTAGATTAATTGATACATTGATTGCCTTAGCTTCTTCATCTTTTCTTCATTTAATTTTTGAGTATAAATGTACAAGACACAATCATTCCAATTGCATCTGTTGTACAAACTTATGCCACACTGAGATACTTTATAAAACTCTGATTATTGAAAAACAAATGTTTTTTAAGCTGGTCTTTTTTTAGAAACAGTCTACTGGGTGTATTTATCACATAATCTACATGATTATTGATTACAACCAAAAAGGTTGCGACATCAACCCATATTATGATTCCAAATCAACATAATTATTGATTACAACCAAAATTCAAACAGAAACTAAATTGATAAACAAGCAGTCTAGACAATTCTCCTTAAGTTTGATCTATTTAGAAGCAATGTGCCTTTCATAATGACCTTTGTAATAGATCATAAGGGTTTCTCTAGGAGGCAAATGTTCCTTAACAATAGGGTGATTGTTGAAGTCTTGACTCCAATTGTAAAGCTTGGGAAATTTATCACTAGTGAACAACTTCTCTCCAAATGCTTCTTGTATAATAGGAAGCCAGTAAGCTATGATGACAGCAGTAATATCAACAATTCCAATCTCTTCTCCACCAAAGAATTTATCCTTGAGCTCATTCTCAAGAAGATGAAGAGCCTCATCTATTTCTTCAGCACCTTTCTCCCGTTCTTTCTCATCATGACTGTATAGAGCTTTCCTTGCAGCATCAATAACCTGGTTTTACAAATCAAGATAGTATAATTAAATTATGCATGTTATGAAGCACATGCACATGCTGACAGAACGATATCGATAATAATTTAAAAACATGAATAAAATAATGTAACATACATGTTTTTTTTGAGAGGGGTCAGTGCAACTGTTAAATAATTACCTTGTCATCTATGAACTTTGACCAGAAACGAGCCAAGGCTCTTTTGTAAGGATCAGAAGGCAATATTGGATTTTGCGTCCATGTTTCATCAATATACTCAAGAATCACAAGTGATTCTGATATGGATTTCTCATTATGAACTAATACTGGAACTTTCTTATATACTGGGTTAGATTTGAGGAGAAGCTCACTCTTGTTTTTCAAGTTTTCTACCTCATATTTGTATTGAATTCCCTTCAAATTTAGAGCAATATCAACCCTACCCACAAAGGGACTTTCCACCATTGCCAAAAGCTTCACATCTTCCTTATTTGCTGCCATTTTAGTGCTTTAACTCTTACTCAACAACTGTTTTTGTCTCTGTATCTTCTAGTATCTACTTCTATATATAGTGAGCCACGAAGATTATTATTCAACAAAGACGGTAGTGAACTAAAAAGCTAGTAGATTAAATATAATATACTACTCCACGCGTATGAAAAGTGTATACTGACAAATGACAATGCATGTCACTGTTTGACAGTTGGACTTTGGAGAATTTATATTGCTTTTTTGACCATGTGAATGAATAAAAGGAGTGATGTAAGGGATTACGTAACCATAAGCCATGGTATGGACAAACATATAGCCACATCATCAGTTACATCCTTCGGCACAAGTAGACGATTAATAAAATATGTTTTTATAAAAATATTATAGGGGTGTCATCAGTTACATCCTTCGGGACAAGTAGACTACTAATAAATTCTTATAATTTTTTATATAAATATTATAGAGGTGATTTCGAAGATGATTTATCTCTGTTTTAAAATATTATTATTTTTTTTGGGTGAATTCGGAGATATATTTTTGAAGATATATAAAAAAAAATTTGAATGTACATTTTTAAAATAAACACTGAATAATTTCTCCATAACAGAAATTTTGAAACATTGATCTTGAAATATTGATATTACATAAACAATAATATAAATTTAACATTGAAAGTCGAAATTACATATATATTGAAGCATAAATTTAATATTACATATTGTTATAAACAAGTAAGTGAAGATGTCGCAACATTTTAATAACATTTTCATCGGATCTCTGGATCTTTGCATCCAATTCAATCGATCCTTTGTAGAGTATCGGTGAAAAGTACTCTTGCGAAACATTCCCTGGTTGTTTTTTTTTTTAATTCGGAAATGTATATCTGAATTATGCAGAGACAGAACTCTATCTTGGCATAATTAATATCAATAAAACATAAATTTACAATTTAATCAGTAAAAGTATAAATCGGTAAAATGTATAAATTGGTCAAATGTTGAATAGATATATTATATAAGTATTGAATCGTATAGATACATTTTCGAACTTCCCAAAATTTGATTTTAGATGCATTCGGAGATGCATCTCTGAAACACCTTGATTTGGGGTGCGTTTGGAGATACATCTCTGAAGAATATTTTCGGGTTTTCAAGGGTTTGTTCCCATCCCTAAGAGGTGTACAAAGAAATTCCCATAAAAAAGACAATCCAAACAACAACGAAAGGAAAGAAAGAGAAAAATACCAAGATAAAGACAACGACTAGACTAAACACCAAAAAAGAAAGAGTCAACTAACCAACAAACTGATCTATTTAGAGGCACAAGCATTACATATTTCCTAAGAGAGCAAGCTACAAAGAGGAAGACCTAAATACATATAAAAACAAAAGGAGGCAAGTTGGTCACCCTAAACGCCTAACCACTTGAGCAAGTCATGTTCCAAGTTTAACATATAATCTTCAAAATTCAGATCATGGACATGAACCCACTTCTATGTCAGACTGATAATCTAAGACATCCAATGATTAACTCTTAAGCATTTATGTCTAAAAATAACTTTATTCTATAAATTCCAAATAGTTCAGACTACAAAATGTTAGATTGAGACCAAACCTAAAAATATCGTCTTCCCTTACTCTTGCAAATCCTAGTAAGCCTTCGAAGACCTATTCTCCGGCACCCCCACTAAGGTAACAAGAGAAGCATGATCAACTTTCATCAAAAACCACCGAACGGACCTGGTTTCCAAATCCATGCATCCTCCTGACCAGACCTAACAGTCTAGAAATGAGACCTAGTAACAACTCCAGAAGCTTCTCTTCCCAAACCAGGAGAGAACAGTTTTTATCTAAAACTCCAAACTTAAACATCCTCTTTCTAGGTAGCCAAAGAGTCAACCACCTGATATTTTTGCACTGAAATGAGAAATAACTACTCAAAAGAGACATACAACGAAGTTGATCCAACCTATATGTCATGTCAAAACCTGATCTTCTGACCATCCTTAATCCTCTTGACAAAGGAAGATAAAAATCAATCACACTCCACATTAAGGGATGGCCCGAGAAATGAAACCCCTTTTGACCACTAGGATACCCTCCTAAGACCCACAACCCTACCCCCATGTTAGCCTTAAAATTCTAGGTGGAGAAAAACAATGAAGAATGCTAATAGCCACATTAAAAATGATTAGTGTCAGGAAGTTTCGACGGAAAATCTCTGACTTGTTAACCACGTCGTAAGGTAGTTCGACTAATGTGGTAAGCATGGTTTGGAAAAATCTCAAGAATAAATCCACGAGATTAGGATCACTTTATCTTTAAAACATGTCCAAAATATCAAAAAGGGTTATATAAATTAAACCTTCGACACAATGTTGAAATTAACATACTTACCAGATGTTAAAGACTGAATATTTTCAAAGTCAAAAGACTATATGATATGGATATGTATCAACCTTCAACAAAGGCAGTTAAAGCATACAGAAACGGTTATCGACACAAATATCTCCATGTTCTATTTAGTCTCAACAGTTATATCCTTGAAGACGCGTCAAAGTTGAAGAAGTGAAAAACACAAGAAGGGGGGTTGAATTGTAATCTTAAAAATCAATGCAAATGACACGATGATTTTTATCCTGGTTCATTTGATCTCAAACTACTCCAGTCCATCCGCCAAGGTGATTTCGCCTCTCTCCAACGAGGTCTTAATTCACTAGTCAAATTGATTACAAATATACTTTGACAACTGCCAAAGTCTTCTTGAGTACAACCACAATCCGGTTTATCTCAAGGAATTTCACTAACAAAAGTATGAATAAATCTGTGTACAGGATGTTTTTTGTTACAAAAACAGTATCACAAACTTGTGATGTATTACACAATTTAGAGAATAATATGAATATTGAGTTGCAACATTGAAAGATTGTGAATTGCAATGTTGTAAAATCGTAAACGATTTAACCTTTTTGCTTGTTTAAATAGGCGCAGAAATCTTGTGCAAAAGAAAACTTGATAATTGTCAGTTAATGCACTTTCCTCAATTAGAAGATCCTTGTCTGTTTGTAGTCGTTGCAATTGATACAACTTTGATGAATAATAACGCTTCAGAACATTAAAGAATTTGTTTGCTTCTTTGCTTCAGAACTTGGAAGATCAGAATCATAAGGTTCTGTTTGTAGTGTTAGACTCCCGTTCAGATTTAAAGTGTCTTTCTCTTAGCGTAAGTTCTGATCTTCATTCATTAGAGCATTCTGAGATCATTCTACGTTCACAGCATGAACACCTTGTAGCTTAACTTCTGATTTGCTTCCATAAGAACTTCTCTACAAGATAGAATATTAATTTTAGAGTGCATATTTGTTCTTTGTGTTTGTTATCATCAAAACTCTTACGAGGGTTGTAGAATCAAACTATGTTCTAACAATCTCCCCCTTTTTGATGATGACAAAAACTAGGATTTTTCAATAAAAATAGACAGAACATAAAGTTTTAGAGAGTCTCCCCCTGAATTGAGTACTCAGATAGAGATGAATTAATTCCCTGAGGTTCATTCTGATCAGAGCTTTTGATGCATCTCCTTCTGTCTTCATCAGAGTTTTGTTCCTGTTTTGGTTTCAGAAAAAAATGAAAGTTATGATATTCAGAATGTTTGAGACCTTTTCCCAGTATACTATTATTGAAAATATCTTACGTTCTCCCCCTTTTTGTCAGGAATCAAAAATCAATATAGTCACTAATATTTAGAATCAAAAAGATGATTTATATTAAAACAAATTTCAATAACATTTTCAGATCCAGATGAAACAAGATAATGAATTCAAAAAACAAGTTATAAAAAATCTAAGATTGAGGAGGGGAAGTCGTGTGAACAACGCTTCCAGCAAGCTCTTAATCTGAGTGCTTGATTCCTCTTACTTTCCCAGCATTTCCTTGATTTCTTTGCTCGTGTCTTCTTGCTTATCCAATCTTTCTTTGATTACAACATTCTCTTTCTTTAACTCTTCCAGAGTTTGCATGACCAAAGATGAAGCTGGTGTATCCACAGAAGTTGCAAGTTTCTCAGAACACTCTGTAGCATTTTCTGATTCAGTTGCTTTTTCCTTTTCTTGAATAATAGCCAGAGGAAGACTTTCAGAGCATGGTTCAATAACTTCTGAAGGTTGGTGCTCTTTCCAGGGAGCATTGTCCAACAGAAGGATAGATTTCTTTTTCCAATGAATCGGAACTTGATCTTTGAAAGCTTTCAGCTGATTGCAGAAGTTCTGTTGAGCTAGTTCATAGCTTAATTCTTTGAGCTTCTGGGATTCTGAGTTGAACCATCTTCTGAACTGATTCCAGTGAGAATCAGAAGCACCAGGATTTGTATTTTCTAGACTTTCCTACTTCAAAGAGTTAACCCATTCCATTAATTCTGTTTCAAAAATCAATAAGTTTCTACCAACATCTGCTTTGGTTATAGTTGGTTTAGGTTTGGGAATGGCAATTTTGTGAGAGGTTGAAGCTAGGTGGTCTAGCGCTTCTAAGTCAATTATTGTTCTGAGGTGATCATCTGGACGGTTAATAGGAGAGGGAGTAGGAGAATCAGAAATGACGATTGGTGATCAATGTGTGTTTGGTGGAGTAGAATGATAAGGTGATGGTATTTCTGGAATGTCTAGGGTGGAGAGAGGTTGTCGAACCATGAGAGGTTCTGTTATTCCAGGAATAGGTGTGGTGGTATCAGAATCTGTGTAAGAATCTTCTGGTTGGTTAGCGGTAGCGTTTAGATTTTCTGGGTGAGTGGTTTGGAAGTTTTAGTTTTCTGTTTGGGGAGTGTGAAGGTTTGGATTTTCTGGTTGAGGAGTTTGAAGGTATGGATTTTTTGGGTTAGGAGTTTGAAAATCTTGATCAAATAGATCAATATCATAAAGAACTCTATCAAGTTCTGGATGATTTTGTTCTAGATATGGATTGGGAGAGTGAGGTTCGTTTAGTATGTTTTCAAGGGTTACAGAAGGATCAAACTCT